TGAAGCTCTTGCAGGTCAAAGAGGTCAGTGAAAACGCCGTAAGGAAGGCGAGTGAGCTCATTCTCGTAGAGTTTGAGACGCTTCAGGCGCCGCAACTTGTAGAAGACCAGCTGAGGCAACTCCTGTTGGGAAGAAAGTCCCAAAAGTTAAAAATTATATGATGTGTCAAAATAACACCTAGGGGTAAGAAATGCTGCATCTGCGATATAATCATTATTGACTGGTTAAGGCAGAGAGAGAAAATAAAAAAACACATGAAAGAATTATTTTCAGATACATTATTTTACGGCATAATTATAATTGTAACAACATTAGGTTGGCTATAGTAAGATGTTGCATAGAATAGTCTTTCCCTGTAATTGGCGTTACGCCATGTTTATTCACTCACCCCATGAGACAGCGGCGGATATAAATAGAATCTGAGGGACAAGAATCATCTAACACCCAACGGCCACCAACAGCCACACTCCCCTACCTCCTCCACATATTTCTTTATCATCACATCTTTGTAGTTTTCTATTCTCACTATATACACTAAAAGTTTTCAACCTTTTCAGTGGATTGAGATTCCATTAAGAGTATTCTGTAATTCTCAGCCGATGCTATGGAAAAAATATAACTTCACAGATGAGAAGGTTGACAAATGTCTTTGTGGTCTTTCAGATTTACTCCAAGGAAGGAGGATGTGGGAATGCTGAGCCCGTTATGTAAAATGAAAATAAAACTAGTCTGTGCAATGTTCGCCAGAATAAATCTGACAATTCATCCTGCATAAATGTTGTGAGCTCCACCCTAAACGCTAAAATGTGAAGCAGTCCATTTAACGCTATCACACAGGTTCACACTCGGAATATTCCCTGGGACATCCCTTGATTTTCTCGGCTAATGAAGCTGTATAAGGCTAGGCAATGCTTTTCTCACATTAAAGTCATGCAACCTCATTATGGAGCATTTCTCCATAATCAGTTCTAACATGCAACTGCTCCAAATCTATTCTCCAAAATGCCCCTCATTGGCCTTGATTTTCTAATTACAAAATGAAATGACATCGCATTACTATTTCTCTACTGTTGTGTAAACCCGTAGTTTAGTATTTTTTCCATCAACGTGCTGGTGCAGCTGGATAGAAACACTGGTGGTGGGAGTGCCAGTATCCAGGCCTTTCTGTTGAAAAGCTCCCTTTCACCACTTCCCTCAACTGACTTACAGCAGAGCGGTAAGGGAGCCTCTGTCTGCCTGGAATGTGGAAAACCAGATAGTGGAAAATGCCTCAAAGAGATCATGCGGTAATAAAAACTCCTCTGTAAATTTGTTTTGCTTTCTCTTTCGAGGCAGATTCAAATGGTTTTCTATTGATTTTTGTCAATGAAAAAGTCATTAAGAATATATTTCCCATATTTTTTTTTATTTATTTTAGTTTATTTATTTATTTATTTATTTATTTATTTAGCTATCACATGTTGTAGATTTTTTTCTTTTTTTTTTTCTTTTTTTTTTTGTAGGTTTTATAGGATTGCACTTTTATTTAGTAAATCAGGTTCATGCAGTCATGGGGCAGAGAGTGGTGGGTCTCCGCTCTTACCAAATAATGAGTCTCCTATGGAGATTCAGGAAGCTTCATTATGAACCATGGATGTATCTGATGACTATGCCTGAAATCCAATAGTCAATTCTGCACAGAAATAACCCTTGGTAAACTTGCAAAGACGTGTGATCTGCACCTGATGTAGCCTCAATTGCCCTCTACTAAAAGCGTTTATCGTAATGCTCAATTCTTGGATAAAGTACTGTGAGTTTGCTCCTAAAAATGGGAGGGATGAATAGTGACCTTTTTTTTTTGAAAATGTAAAGCTGTGGTATTCTTCTGTGATAATTTGTATGTACGGTATGTTAATTCTCTTTGATGGTGTAAGTTATTCTCTGTTTAATATAGTGTGTAATTTTCCAGATAAAAGTATGCTAGACATTCCTTAGAAAGGTATTTAAGACGCAAATGATATTGATGGTAAACTCCCATGCGGGATTTCTTCCAGCTATCTCTAGGTTATAGAAAGAGAAACCCACATACACCCTGAACTTTTATCACCTAGGAACTTCTACATAAATTTGGGTAGTGCTTTTTTCAAACCAATGGCATACAACTGCATAGATAAGCTATGCTTTAAACTTCTAACATATGAATTTGCTTTTGCTGGTGGAGTGTCTCGCATTCTCACGGGTTCGGAGTCTACTGTCTCGCATTCTCATCACTTGTAGATGATATTCTGTAAGATGTAATCCATCTCAGGGAGCAAGTTGCTCGTGTTTTATGCACTTAAGAAAGCATTATTACTATTCAGAGGTATGGATGTTCATCTATGTATACAAATATGATAAATTTGTATGCATGTAGTATATATGTATGGCTGGATGTGTGTGTATGTATCCTTGTCACTATGGGTAGACGTTTACATATATGTATGATTGGATATGTGCATGTAAGGCTGAATGTATTTATAAATATATATATATATATATATATATATATATATATATATATATATATATATATATATAAGAAAGAAAATAATGCACTGACCGCATTGATATAATGAATATATAACCTCTCCGATAGAGATTCGAATCCTCACCGCCATTGCAAGGAACTTGCAAGACGGTCACTCTGACCACTGATACATGACCCACTAAAAGTTGTGTGCAACTAGGAGCTAGCTAGCATCCATAGGCATTACCTAACTACTCATACTTGTATGAGTAGTTAGGTAATGCCTGTGGAAGCTGGCTAGCTCCTAGTTGCACACAACTTTTAGTGGGTCATGTATCAGTGGTTAGAGTGACCGTTTTGCAAATCACATACACACACGCGCGCACACACACACACACACACACACACACACACACACACACACACACACACACACACACACACACACACACACACACACACACACACACACACACACACACAACGCACAAGCACACACACACACACACACACACACACACACACACACACACACACACACACACACATATATGTATGTATGTGTTTGTGTGTACGTGTGTGTATATATATATATATATATATTATATATAATATATATATATATATATATATATATTATATATATATATACATACATACATACATATCACGCTCAAAATACAATTTAGAAGCACCGCCCCGAAAAGGTAACGCATGTACCTACGCCCGCTAAATTTAAAGGGAATGCGAGATCTCAAACCTTGCCCAATCGCCTCTACTCTATCATAGCCTTCCATAGCACCCTTGATCATCTCGCTCACCCATTCCGTTGTTTAGGGGTGTTCAAGGGGTCTGTACGAGTACTCAAACCATATCCATTCTCATTTACTCTGTGATAGCTTTCCATAGCACCCTGGATCACCTCTGTAACCCTTGCCGTTGTTTAGGGGTGTATTTAAGGGGTTTATAAGGGGTATACGAAAACTCCAACCGTGCCCATTCTCCACTACTCTATCATAGCCTTCCATTGTACCCTCGATCATCTCCCTAACCCATTCCGTTGTTTAGGGGTGTTTAAGGAGTTTATAATGGGTCTGTAAGGGGTATACAAGTACTCAAACTATATCTATTCTCATTTACTCTATGATAGCTTTCCATTGCACCCTGGATCACCTCGGTAACCCTTGCTGTTGTTTACAAAATGTAATTTGACTGTTGTTCTTTTTAAGACTAGTTGTAGCTCAGTAGATCTCCCCTTGGAACAACCCATTAGAGCTAGATTTCGACAGAAATGGGAAGAGGGGGAGTTCTCAAGTTCAAGGAGCAACATCTAGAATGTACTGCCAAGCAAAAGTGGGATGGACGTTTTCAGTCATATTTGACCGAAATTAATGGCGGACCTTTATTACAATAGAAGCTACAGATCACTATCTTTTTACCACTTATTGGTGGTGGGGGCTAAGTATACAATACTGCTGCAATTTTTTTTACTAAACACTCATGATAGACTCTGGGTGTGAGGTAGTTTTCTTGATGCTGGATTGTGTTTAAAAAAGCTCTCAGATCCTCCACGAGCGCAGTCATGTCCATATCTGTGCAATCTCTCCATGGAAGGAATGAAGGACTCTCATTCCCTCATGACTACATAAACCAGATTTACTATCAAGGATTGTATAATCTGCCTGCAGTTTTGAGTTCCTGTGAGGACAAAGCATGAGTAATCTATTGGAGCTGGAAAGGGAAAAATCTGATATGTGATATTTACTGAACAATAAACTCTAGTGGGCCGTCACAATACGCGAAGCTATGTGTCATCCTCGCAACAACTAAAATGTCAGACGTTGTCACGGACCGATCCATCATGATCCGTTATGGGCCTTGTGGGGAATTGCCAGTCATCACCAGCCCAATGAAGTCAGCGGATACTGGTTTCCACAGGGTGAATAAGCCGACAGATGGACTGGCGGCTGTGTTCCTCACATTCACACCAACTTGAAACTTAAATCAGGAGATGGGGGGTGGGGGGGGGGCACTACTGCCATACCTTTAGTCAATATGCTGATTTTGAACAAAGAAACAGCACCCATTAAAACTAACGAATAACTGTTATGACTCACGAGTAAAGGATGTCAAGAGCTGCTGACAATTGCCTCTGACTTCTCTTCCACACTGAAATGGCTTCCCCATGAAAGGATAGCGCTGTAACGTATCGAATCTTATGGCTGCCTTAAGGGGAATAATTTTGTAAAAAAAAATTCAGGCATTTTACGAAAATGCATTTTGTCTATATTTACATACAAGATCACATAGAATTTTTATTTTCTTAACGCACTGGAATATACCAATGGTGATTTCTGATACATCATACCTCTAAACAAATACGGATGAAAGATTCAAGAAACTGACCTTTAATTTATTTTCGGATAAGTCCAGGTCCTCGAGATTCTCCAGATCGAAGAAAATTTCCTCGTCCAGATGCGTGATGGCGTTGCTGGCCAAATTCAGAAGATAAAGGTTGTAAAGCTTCTTAAAACCATTGCTAGGTAAGCCTTCCAGCACATTATGAGACACGTCTCTGTAAGGAGGAAAAGAGAGATACTTTCTGTATATCAAAGGTACATCTAACTCTCAGCTTATCCATCGATGCACATGGATTTAAATATGCTTGTGTGTCTGCATACATACATATATATATATATATATATATATATATATATATATATATATATATATATATATATATATATATATATATATATATATATATATATATATATATGTATATATATATATATATATATATATATATATATATATATATATATATATATATATATATTATGTATATATGTATTTACACATATATACTTATATATATACATATATATTTATATATAAATAATATACATATATACTTATGTATATATATATATATATTTACTTTTATATATATTTACATATATATATATATATATATATATATATATATATATATATATATATATATATAAACATATACTTACTTTTATTTATATACATATATATATAATATATACTTATGCATGCATATTTATATATTATATATAGATAGATAGATAGATAGATAGATAGATAGATAGATAGATAGATAGATAGATAGATAGATAGATAGATAGATAGATAAGATAGATATATAAGTATATATATATATATATATAATATACATGTATAAGTATATATATATATATACAAGTAAATATATATATATATATATATATATATATATATATATATATAAAGGAAAAACGGCATTTGATTTACTTACATGGTTCGTAAAGATCGAGCATCCTGGAATATGTCTTGAGGCAGGTATAACAATCGGTTTTTATGGAGTTTCCTGGAATGATAATCATCAAATTTAGGTCTAAAATCGGCGTTATGTTTTTTGTCGCTCTTTACATACGTCAGGTGTATTAGGAGGAGTGGTATTAAAATCAATATTATTTTTATCAATATAGTTATCAAAATAGTAATGGAAACACATACATATACATACGTGTATATATATATATATATATATATATATATATATATATATATATATATATATATATGTATGTATATATATATATGTACATATATATATTGTAATGTGTAATGGCATTAATTACTGGCTACGTTGTTACAAGATAGTGGTTAAGGGTAGTTGTGTAAGTGCATATGTTCGCGCGAGTCAGGTATAGTGTTAACGTGGTGAAGGTAGGTTTGGTGGAGGGCAGAACATTGCCGGTGACTGGATAGGAAAGAATGGTCAGTAATAATAATTAGAGAAGAGAGGTCGCCGTGAATTACGGGGTAGCAAAAGCCATTTACTTCTCAGCACGAAAGATTTTGGCTTCCCCTAAAGATAAAAATAGTTTTTTTCCCCATAGGAATGTTAAGAGACACGAAAGTTTTTTACATTTGTGTTTTGTGTAAAGTGAAAATAATAATTTATTAACTTCTGACAAGTATGTATGTATACTTACCACATGTATGTATTCTTTTATTTTGCAAAAATGCTCTAAGGTGTTATTTGATTCACGTAAAGTTTTTTTTGAGTAGCGAGCAGTAAAACTACAATCAAACACTGCAAGAAGGAAATCAAGCAATGTGACCACACCATTGAAAAATGTCAGCTTGGAGATTGTTTTTGTGTATTTGTGTATTTGTGCCTTTTCCTTTAATTTTTTGTTGTGCATTTTCTGTGCATCATTTTTGTACAGTAAATGATTGGAACGAATATACTGTTTTAAACATCCTTTACAATTCTACCTATGAGGCAAATGAAATACTATCGGTTTCGACCGAAGAACGGTCATTCGCTAGGATGATTCCTCACCAATTATGGCGCCCAAACAGGGGCCGCTCCGTGCCATGCAATCTGTGGTAAGAGTTGTAAAGGCTGTATGCTTAATAACGTAGAGTAACGAGAATTAACGGTCAAATCATGAGTAATTTGGCTGAAATAATAAAAATAACTAAGGAAATAGGGTTAGAAGGGGATGATTTGAAAAGTTTTGTTAAAGAAAAAGCATTTCTAACCGACGTCCCTGGTAAGACTAAGGTGATAAAACACGTTATTACATTAAACAACAGTCGGCCGATAAGAACTAAGCCATACCCAGAAAATGGATGGTAGCAATAGGCTGTGCTTAGATTTCCATAAAATCAACAAGCTAACCGTATTTGACGCCGAACCGATGCTGGACCAGAAAGCCATCATGGCTCGATTAAGTCAGAGTAAGAATTTCACAAAGATAGATTTAAGTAAAGGCTACTGGCAAATTCCTTTGGATGAAGACACAAAGGAAGTAACAGCATTTCAAACAAGCAAGGGATTGATGCAGTTCATTATGATGCCATTTGGTTTAGCAAATGCAAGTGCAACATTAAACCGCATGATGAGAAAGCTATTTAGTGATATGAGTGATGTTGAAATATTTGTAGATGATATCCTTATTCACACGTTAGACTGGAATAACCACCTTAACGTGTTGAGAGCTGTACTCGATGTCTTACATGAAGCATCCTTAACCGTTCGACCATCCAAGACAGAGATTGGTTATTTCACTGTGGAATACTTAGGAAGTAATGTAGGCAGGGGTTTCACACAGACTGCCGCAGATAAAGTTAGACAAATAGAGGATATGGATTTCCCAAAACCAAAAAGCAGGTTAGATCATTCTTAGGCATGTTTGGTAATTATTACCGCCATCATTTACCTAATTATGCAAGCATTTCTGCACCCTTGTCTGATCTTACTAAAAAATTGTCAACTAGCGTAGTTAATTGGAAAATATGCATTCGACCCATTAAAGGATATACTGAGCAAACATCCCATGTGATAATCTTGAAAATGAGTTTGTTTTACAGACAGACACTTCAGACGTTGGCTTAGGTGCAGTGCTATTGCAGGATTGTGATGGGTAGCGGTGACCGGTATATAATAATATAATATAATGTATATATATATATATATATATATATATATATATTACATATATATGCATATATATTTGTTTTTGTGTTTACCAGAAAATCAGGAAAAAGGGTAAACAAGTGAGACCACTGATCTCGATAAAACTGGATCGAGGAACCTAATGTTTTCGGGCGGCAAAGTTGAAGCCAAAATCGGCACCATCTTGGGAAAACAACTTCGCGCACCACAGCTCTGTAATAGCAGTGCTTACTTTCATATAACGTTGCTAATGACTACATAATTGTACATGGCTCTGCAACACACACTTAGCATCCATACATTGAAGAGGGATCATTTAGGTCATGATATGTGTATAATGGATGAAGGGCATATTAGGTTGCACACAATATGCCGTATCTTTATATCAACGTTTAAATTTCTATAAAATATAAAGATATTATTTCATATCCCAGACAAACCCTTTCCTACAGTTACGTAAACACATATCTCTTTCAAAAGTCACCAGAGATACCAAGGCATCATGCCTATACCACACATGATCATAAAACGTAAAATTCCTTCCCCTCTCTGCTCCGAGTATACTTTACTAACATAATCCCAGTGCACGGTAGCCCCCCCCCCCTCAGATGGCCGCCATCGGCTTCAGCAGAGACTGGTAGGTCTAGGAACTGACTCCCTGGTGACTGTTTGTCGAGCCATCTGAGTATAAAACTAATAAACTAAAATCACAGAGGGCCTGGCATGTATGACAGGTTATCCTAGCATAAAGTGTTAGGCCTTTTCACGCACTTTTAGCACTTATGATGATGAAGGGGACTGTCCGCCCCTTTTCCGGCTAAACTACTCAAAAATGATATTTTTGAGATATGCATAGTTCTGACATGCTAAAAGAATCCCTTCAAATCAAAACTTGATGTCTGCTCACATTATTAATTATTGATGATAGTAATAATAATAACGATTTATTATTATTACTACCATCATGTTTTTTTAATGTTTTTTTCCTAATATGGGAAAGGTCTGAATATATCCTCTGAGAGGTCCCCCAAACTGAGAAGGGGCTGCTTCATTAGAGACACTGAGCCCATATAAAATAATTTATTTAATCAAGTTTTGCCTTGTACTCGGCTGACATAGTGAAATACATGTAAATTGAACATTGTTATTATTACATTATCTGATAAAACGTGAGATTTATATATGCTTATATAAATATACGTACATATATACATAACGTTTGGAAAGATCCAGTTTTTATATTCCTTTTCGTGAATGTTCTTGCCCTTCAGGACAGTCTGGAGCAGGGATTCTTTGAATGGGTCTATGAACCCTTAGTTTACTTTTAAATTAAATGATACTTTATGTATCCCATATATGTATGAGACAAGCAAATCTCAAGAAAAGTTGTGCTTATGTCAATATTTCAGGGGAAGGGGTCCATGGCTTTCATCAGATTCTTTAAAAGGTTAAGAAGCACTGGTCTACATTTTATATTTGACTTTATATTAGGGGTTTTCAACCGGAGAGTTCGTGTAGCCATTGGAGTGCACGTGTTTATTAAGAGGTATGCCACACCCAAGCGTCTCATAGTATCAGTTAAAACTGGAGCGAAAATTACCAAATTGTCGTTTCTGGTCAGGCTAACGTCCCACCTGTATTGATTCGGGCCGTATTGAACTACTTTGTACAGTATAAAGCTATATAGCACCATAATTGGCAACACTGTTAGCGAAATGGGCATAAATGTCCAATCAAACACTGAAACACCTCACAGGAGAAATGTTTTGTGCCAGCTGTTCGTCTCTAAAATTAATCGGCTGTAGCTATCAGTATTAGTTTTCAATTGTTCATCTTTAGAAAACCTTGACATGAAATGGTTTAGTAACATATCTTATGCTCTAGGCTGCAGTCAAAAAGTTTATAAGACTGCACACACTAAAACCTAATAAAGAAAGCCTTTTGTACTTCTACTATAGTTAGACCACAAAACATTGGTTGTCGGATGATCCCCATCTCCTGCAGTGGATTAGTTCGAGAAAAATAGGTGACGTATGGATATTAATAAAAGGAATTGAAACAAAAACAGGGGTTGTTGTTTTTTCTAGCTACGCTTCACTTTGTGCAATTCTAACAAATTATTTTATAAAGTATATAATGCAGTTCCCCAGTGTGACCATTATTAGACAAGGCAGTAACATGGATCTTTGCTACTTACAGATGTCTTAGGTTTTCAAGGTCGTAGAAAATGCTATATGGAAGCAGTTCTAATTCATTATCATTCAGGTCTCTGAAATGTACAAGTCACAGTCAGAACGCCATTTACAAACTGAATGTCCTGTATCAGATATCGTATAAAATTTACTCTGCAGTACAAATGAAATATAATCATCTATTTTACCGACACGTGGTGTTAATAATGCTGTACTTACAATTCGGCCAGCTCGGTTAGACTGTTGAAAGAATCCTTGTGGAGGAATCTAAGGCGATTCATCCCCAAATCTCTGAAATATATTGTATGTAATTTGGTAATTTGATTTTGTAACAGTTAAGCACGCAGCTCCCTCATATTGCCTACACTATAGCACAGTTTAGAAAAAATGTCGCAAAGCTTCCTTACAAACTTATCGTGTCCACTGGAATCTGCTGCTTCCGGGGAACGTGGTAAAGCAGCTCCAGGCGCCAGCAGGACACAGCGCGCGTCTCCATCATACAGGAGCAGGGGCCTTCGGCGCACATCGACCACCGCTGCGGGCTGGAGTTCACGGGCCACACTATAGGGAGAGGAACCGTGACTGATATTCAGCTGCAGTTCTTGGTAGGAATATCTGTGACTTGGATTATGTTTACCGACAGAAAACAGTTAATATTTGATACTTTGAAATGAACACAGAAATAATCTTGCTTGGTGGATGTACATGTATATAATGTTTGTTAGGCACTATGTTTTTAACATAAAAATGGTTCTTTTAATCCAAGCCAGAAGTCATCAGGCTTTGTTACTTTGCTGCAGCTGCCATCGCTATTACCGCTAGTGTGATTAAATTCTATTGCCATTGTCACTGCAATTGAAAAGATTATTACTTATATTATCAGGGCCAGAGTTCGTGATAATCCTCTCGCACGATGGCCTGATTGTTTTGGTAATATGAATGTATCGCTGCTACTACCATTAATACCACTTTTGCTAATAATAATGGTTATAAAACTAACAATGACACTGGCACTAACATCAATTATTATCTTCATTATTACCTGGCTGGAACAGGCTCCTCACATCTCTCTCAAGGTCTTCTACGTTACGGACAAGCTGTTCCAGCTTTTTCATGTTTTCGAAGACCTCTTCTAAAGCTTCAGGCTTGATTGTATGCATCAGTTTTGCCATCATCAATTCCGTGTGTCTCTTGGCCAGTTCTATAGCCTGGCAGCCATTCAGGCCACACAGCTTAGCGCCATCTTCACTCAGGACAGGGATTGGCATCGCGAACATGAACAGTAGTAGTTGAAGTGCCATTTTAGCTCTGGCAGTATCGCTAATCTGAGAAAGAAAAACGTATAATTTAGTGTGACAAAACAAGTTAGATTATGCACATAATTAGTCTCTCACACACACACACAGAGTACACAAGCATATATATATATATATATATATATATATATATATATATATAAGATATATAGAGAAGAGAGAGAGAGAGGAGTGTCAAATTCAATTATTTTATTCCATTAATTACAATGGGTATTCTATTTACATATATGGTGTTTACATTATGTAAGATGCTATGAACACTGGCATATTACAATGCTTGTGAAACAAAATTCCACAGAATACTAATATATCTGATTGAAATATCGTGCTTGGCCTAAAGTTCAAGAGCCTGATGTCATTCAGTAGATTTTTTTACTTTTGTTTTGAATGGAGATATTTCCAATATTGTTTGGTAATTGGTTCCAGTTCACGTCCTCAGTTTCCTCAGTTTCTTGCCCGTTTCTGCATTCGATCTTTTAATATATAAGCAGTTATTATGCCTTGTATGGACACCCGTTATCACCTGTTGTCTGTTTAGGTAATAACCAGTTTGGGTAATATCCTTGTATCATTTTATGGATTAGAATACATGTCACAGTTATATTTCTGTTTTACTTTTAGCCGTTTTAGTTTATTTTTGTGTGGTATAATGTGGTCATATTTATTTATATTTCCTAGGGCTACTCTTGCTGCAAAGTTCTGTAGATTTTGTGTCCTTTATATTTATGTTTATGTCTGTGGAGCCCCAGATTTTTAGGCAGTAATTAATGATTCTAAGTGTTTATGTTTGTATAACATTAATTCTTGTTCCTTTGGGTATTTTATTTTTGATGGTTGATTTAAGTATATCAGTGTATATTCTATGTAAAGTCTTGGATTTTTTTATTTTTGTGTTGGATTTGATGCTTGGTGTAGCAACCTTGGAATTCTATAACTGTATCTGTGGGTATTTTTGCTGTAAAAATGCAGTGTTATCTGTAGATTTAGTTTCAGGCCAATCGTATTGGTTTGCTTCTGTTAGGGTCTGT